GAATGTGAATCGTTTTCATCCTATCGATTTCGACGAACATTTTTCAGTTATTTTGAGAAGGAACCCTTAGATTGTTTGTAAGTGTTCGACATTGCGATTTATTTGAGCTTTGTAGACTTTTATTTTGCTTTAGTTTGCTTCGCGTTTGCAAGTTTCGATTGTGTAATTCTACTTTCAGAAACATATTTGTATGCCGTTTATTTGATGAACCTGGATTAAAAGACTCTAAAATTAACCGATCGATTCAGCGGCTACAAGTTTGACGATTCGATGGCCCGGTAAATATTAAGTTCGAGTAACAATGTGTTCATAAAGTATTGTTTAATAGAGGATTTTGCGTCAAATCAAAGTGTTTTCAGAATTTTCAACGTAACGCTGCGAAATTTCTGGCCATGAAGGCAAGTAAACAACGATCTAAGCATGATGAATTTTACCGCGTGGGCTTTCTAAGAAATTCGTACGTTTTTCGCTTATAACAGCAAATCAAAAACTGTTTTGAATAAATCTGTCGTCCCGAAATATTTCTTGGCCATTTTAGTCTTGCTTCCTTATTAATAGATTCCATGGAACTTGAGATCTCTTCAGTCACGGGCAAATTTGCATATTCCCGTTTGAAATATGATCCACAGGCTCATTTGCACACATGCGAAAATACTTAGCGATTTTTATCTTTCATCTCGATTTTTAAGAGAAAACGAAATATGCACCTGTCACTTTTTCCACGAAAATAAGTTCTTTAATTAATCTTCTTTCACTGGAGCTTGTTTTTGGAAAAGATGATTTCTAAAAATTTACTGCGCATTGTGTTTGGTTTCTCCAAAATTTTGACTTTTCGTGGGCACGACTCTTAGATCGTGTTACACGTAAGTCTCAATGGGTTAAACTCGAACTTGCTATAAATTTCCGCGTTTTGGGAAAAGAAAAATGGGTTTCGTGTGACAAATTGTGATTCATTGGAAGATAACAGGTGAAGTTTACAACATGAGTCAGTGATTCGATGATGAAAATAAGTTACGAATGCAGGTTTTGCTTTAATGGAGATAGTATAATTTTTCTCACGTGCAATCGTCACACGCCGCTACTGTGTTAACGAAAATTTCTTTTGTCTACCGTGCTAAAATAGTGTGCCCGTGTCATCACCATTATGCTGGAAATCCTGTGGAGGGTCACATATTATATTTAGAGGCTGCTGATAAGTGGTATAACTGCATTAAAACCCAAGCGTGAAGTCAAAATAGCTGCATATTGGCCAATTAAGTTGCTTTTTCCTTCCAAAACTTACTAACTTTGTAATTTAGCTCCAGTTTTTTTTGGAGTACACAATCAAAGCAGGCACTCCTGAAAAGACAAGATGGGCTCATCTTGCCTAACATACTCAAACAGCCAATCAGAGGATAAGATTAATTTCAGGATACAATCATTAGTCAATAAAATTAATACCATTATTACTTGTAAAGAAATAACCATAATAATTAACAATTGATAGAAATATATATTAACAATAATAAAAATAATTATCATCACCATGATTATCATTTTTATTTTTATTATTATAAGTTATTAATTATTACTTTTTCATATCATTATTGACCCACCCCTTTACCCCACCCAATAACATTCCATGTTATTGCTGACCACCTTACCCTTTTTATCAACAAGTTCCATGTATGTTGGTTGACTCTCTTGTTCACTGAGAGTTTTGGCTTTCTCCCTTGGTCTTTCTATTTCAATGTCATCCTGAGGTTTTCCATACACTGGGTTCTTAACTAGGATTAAAAAGTTAATAGACAAAAATAATCGCAAACTATCATTTCATGGAGATATTTCCTAAATTGTGAAGACTTTAAAAAATGCTAAAAAAGTAAATATAGTGCATCAGTATCATGCAACTTGAGCCTTAACAACTAGTTTCACTACTTTAGATAGAAAGGCCATCATGCAATTTCAGGCTAATTATTTTGGTAGCAAATATAGAAACAGTCACCTTCCAGATGTTTAGGTTTAATATTTGAGACAAAATAGAGAAACTCAGATCATTTATATCATACTCTCATTTCTTTACAATTTGTTATGGTGCATGCAGGATCCAATGGAGTTGCAACAGTCTGTACCAGTCTTAAACACTTTCAGTAACTTTATACTCATCAACAAAACCTTACCTCCTACGTCTAGTTTTGCTTTCATTTCAGTATTTTCCCTGCAAAACAAATCCATAATGATAATTTATAGATCACAAGGCCTTAAAGATTACTAAACACTTTCTTTCTTGTTTATTAACTCATCCACAGTGCAACAAATTTTACAAAGATTAATTCTCTCTTGCACAGCAAGATGCCAGTTATGAAAGAAGTCAAAATCCCTATAATTTTTGTAATTTCTTTTGCAATCTTAAATTAAAGTACAAATTTGAAAATTACTGAAAATGGCACTAAGAAAAGAGAGCTTAAAGCATATGATTCAAAATTTTAATATCATGTTTGTTTTGAGTATGATTATCATTAATAGTTATTTTATATTGCATGATGAATCATACATTCTACTTGTTCTTTACTAAATGTTTCACATTGAATGTCCCAGTCAATGTGATTGGGCGTAAGACATTTCACATTGATTGGACATGAGACAGTTCACATTCTGCAACATACACATTGAATCCTAACCCATATATTGGGTGTTGCTATCTGAGTGTGTACACAAATTGTGTTGGTTAAAGGACATAATTTGACACTGGGTCAATTAAAACCATAATTTATAATTATATCAATTAAAAGACATGATTGGTAATCAGCTGCCAGTAGCCCGTCCAATACAGTTTATAATTGCCATGCTTGTAACTGGATATTGCAACTAGAACATGTAGTACATGTCATGCCTTTTCAATTGGACACTGTGTAATTTGTGTGAGTGTTTGTTAGTTCTCACTAATAGCAAGAGCACGTTTTCCACTTCTGCCTACTGTATAATCACTCCACACTTGCAATATAGTTATAGGTTCTAAGGGAAAATTCATTACCTGACGAGGGAATTCTGCTTAAATTGCCCGCGAAAACCAATATAGCATGAATCATTGAGTGATGAGTGCAATATTGGTTTAAAAGTGCAATTTAACACAGAATTCACAAGTCAGGTGCTGGATTTTCCTTGAATTGCATAATGAAGTAAAAAATTAATATGAAAAAGAAAACAGCAAAAATATTGTTTGTTTTTATCCTGAGCGTAAAACAAGAGATGTGAAACAACATCCCTTAATTAGCCTTGTTTTCTACTCACAATTCCACGCAAAATACATCACTTCGCTAACCAATCAGAATGCAAGATTTTATTCAATTAAACCATTCTAGCTTGAATTTGCAATCATCTGATCTGATGCTGTTTGTTGCGAAAATTCATCACTTGGTTCCTGCACGATCATTACTAACAAAATTCAGGTGATTGCCCACTAACAATATTAGACATGTCAGTTACAGAGTCACTCAGTTTTTGTTTAAGCAGCTTACCGTGACTTTTTTCTCCGACAAAATATAATGATCACCCCTATGACAATAATCCCAAAAGCAACAGCACCACCAACTCCTGCACCAATTGCTACTCCTTTGTCTTTTCCACTTTTTCTAGCCTCTTTGTCTCCTGGACCATCCCTGGTAGGAAGACTTAACTCTGTGGGTGGTAACTTAAAGTATATGGACAGATTATTAAAACAGAATAAGAATTAAAATAATTATCAAAATTTTCCCCTGAAGAGCTTTACAAAGTAAAAGTACATTAATTTGTAATTGATAAACCTTTGTCATAAATATTTTTTAGGTTTCCTGAATTCAAATTGTAAAGGTTACACATTATCGTACATTGAAGACCTGCTAAGGATATCTCCATTCACTTTTTTCTCAAGCATCTCCACAGGCTGGAGTCGTGGGAGGGTAAAAAAAAAAATAAGATTTTACATAATTATCAAAATTTACCCGTGAAGAGCTTTACACAACAAAAGTACACATTTTTAGGTTTCCTAGATTCATATTGTAAAGGTTATACATTATTGCACATTGGAAACCTGCTGAGGGTATCTCCATTTTATTTTTTTCCGAGGCATTTCCATAGGTTGGAGTCATTAATCCCCAAATTTGATTGGCTTACTGCACGGTCACTGGTCCATCTTTTTACAATCTGGACCAGGGAATTTTTCCCATGCCATTCCACACTGAAACAGGATGAAGCAAACCAGCAGATGAAAATAATTGGTTAATTTCCGGTCCACAATAATGGTCTGTACAAGAAAAAATGTCCATTTGGTCTTACAGCCATAAGTACAGTTTTTTTTTTCCACATGAACCTCCCACCTGGTAAACCTAATAACATAATATTCCTATTTATTTCATTATTAACTTCTAGGGACCATAAATATAATAATAATAATTTCATGGTTTCATACATAATGGTAACACTGCACCCTCTTAAGAAAACCAACCTCTGAGGCTTCGCTATAATTTGGTTCCCCAGTGCTAACTGAAGATTTTGGGATCCCTGTGTTTATTCCTGGTTCAGAAATTTCCTTTGAATTGACTGGCAAGTAACTTTCCATTTCAGCTTTTGATGTTGGTGGCAGAATTGGTCTAGACGAGCGTAATGCTGGCCTTGTTTGAAGTGAACTGGTTTGAATGTGTGTTGATAAAAATGTTGAAAATCTGTCTGTGTGCATTGTGAGACTTCTTGTGGTAGCACTGAGTGATGGGGAAGGTAATGGTGACAATGTTGGTTGTAGCTTTGGTGGCAGTGAGAATTTTTGTGCTGATTGTGGTAATCGAAGAGATGGTGAAGATGAATAGAATGATGATGGAGTGTGTGCTGTGGGACTACTTGTGGTAGCACTCAGTGAAGGGGAAGGTAATGGTGACAATGTTGGTTGTGGCTTTGGTGGCAGTGAGAATATTTGTGCTGATTGTGGTAATTGAAGAGAAGGTAAAGATGAATAGAATGATGATGGAGTGTGAGAACTCAAAGCAGTTGTAACAGCTAGTACAGACATTGTCTTTGAAGGGGCATAATCTGAGAAAGGCAAAAGGAACATTTGACAGATGAGTGACTCTACCTGCAAACATTGATTTCAAGTCTATTGATTGTAGAAAATGATGTTTCAAATGCTGCTAAATACTGATAGTCTTTGTCAAGGGGGATGAGGCTGAATAATATTACCCTGCATAATGCTCTATATACCACATGTTGGTTATAGTTCCTACTGGTGAGTTCTGGTATGCTAGACATTTGAAGTCATGTACTATACTCAATCCTTTATTAATGATTAGTAGATATATAACCCTTCATAGGTCTGTTTCATCAATGACTGGCTGTTAAACCATCTTGTTTTTATGCATCCATCCTTAATAAATTTCATCCCCAGTTTGTTATTTTTATAATGTTTACTTTGTGATGTTTGTTTTTCATGAAGTCCTCTGTGCATGATACTTTTAACATTTCTGTGTACCAGTGAGGGTCATAATCAACAAAATTGAATCTAATTCCAAACTATCAGTAAATGCAAGCCAAAGCACACCCACATAGCACCCAAAAATATGTTAGATAAAGCAGCCTGGGGTTATATTTGACCTCACTCTCTGACAAAAAAATAGCAGTAAAGCAGTCAAAATGTCCAGAATCACAACATATACCCAGTTACTGTAACACTCAGTCAAGACAATTAGAAAAATTTGATGTTAATTCTAATAACTATTTTATGATATCTAAAATAACAACAACCATTATTTTAATTCTAAGACACAAAGGAGAAAAATCAGCGAAAAACGTGAGCAGGGGATGTCTCTAAGTGCTTTGAAATTAGTTTTTTCTTCACCATAACATTTAAAGTACTGTAATACGTAGAATTCCACAAAAAACCAAGTGCAGTCATTCACTTTACTTTAATTTAAAACATTACTCACATGTCACATTCCCTGATGCCTTGAAAAGCATACAACGTTCCATTGGTGACTGGGTAATGGAACTAGTGTTAACATGGCATGTAACATTAAGGCGAATGATTCTGCCAGAGAGGTTTCTATTCTTGTCTGGTGTCCACTGTAAAGGAAATGGTAACAGAACAGAGCTACTTTTAAGAAGAATTTATGTGACATAGATTAAAATCATGGTTTAATTTATTTTAATTAGTTTGATTATTTTGTACTTCAATTTCCTTTTTTAAAAACATGTATTAGCCTGTTCCAGGTGTCATCCATGTTCAGTTAATAATTAAGAATTAAGCATAATAGTAAATGGCACATGTGACAAAAGCAGCAGTCCGGGAGCAAAAAGACAAGGGAGGTTTGGCTGGTTCAGGTCAGGTAACTTTTCAATAGAATTAAGGTCCTTTTGCCCTCCTAAAGCAGTCCTTTGACAAACCATATGTTTTTATAATTGGTTTGTGGTTTTGGAACTCTTTAACACTTGCTTTTCTCGTCAACATTTTGTGTTGACAGCAACTGTCAAACCTGACCAATCAAAGCATTATGCCAGATTCTGGTAAGCCAGAATGACCTTTAGTTAAAAAGGTTAACAAGCATCCATTACCTGACCCCACAATCCTCCTAATTTGCTTTCTCACTCCATTACTACTATTGCACCATTTATTACTGAATTCGCTCTGTTTTACAAACTGTCAGGCTAAACATAGATCAAACTTTTCCATTTTCCTCTCATGAAGCAAAACCTTTCTTAGGGGAATACTTAATAGTGCTGTTCTAAAGGCTGGACCCCAACTGGATGATTCAGGATGAGCACCCAATCATGATATAGAATTCTAAAAGGAATACCGCTAAATATAAGACTAACTATGCTGTACCTGAAGTTTCAATTTGTTATCACTGTTGCAAAAACTGAATATTTGGTGATGTATACTTTTCCATTCAATCTGAAAGCCACTGTAATCAAAGTACTGCCCATTGATCACTGAGCAGGTACCTCTGGACTGTGAAGGTGCAAGTTCCTTTGAGTTTGCCACTAAAAGATCTACTGCTTCAGACAACAGTTTCTCACTTTGCCAGTCCTTTTTGAAATGTATGTAGCCAGACGAACATCCTAAAAAGATATTTTCGCTCAATAAGCCAACAAAAATCTTACATTGTTAGAGTTGTATGGCAGACATTACAGAGAATTATAATGAGATCTGGGAGTGAAAGTGTTAAATCAAAAACCTTAAACAAGAGAGATGTAATATTAATGGATTCAGTATGAGAACATAAGATGGAATTTTTTACTGAGTCTCCACAATTAAAGCATGTGACTTGCAAACTCTAGCCCCAAAAACAATAAGCTTGAGGAAGATAGAGACACACAAGGATCGAGACCTCCACAAGTACAATTGGGAATTACCAGCTCTAGACTCAGTTGATTAGGGCCTGATTAAATACTAATCCACATTTCACTGCCACAGCAACATAAAGTATTTGATAACATGTTCCAAAGTGCTATGTTTTTAAATAGTAACATATTACATGGCTACAACACAAGATATACAGCTTAACAGATCTCTACAAGACTAAAGTGTAAACTACTGTGGGTAAACAATCAATTTCTTTCATGGCAATTGATATTTGGAATGACCTTCCACCCTCTTCAAAAGACTCAAGTGTTACTGCATTTTCATAGGAAGTCAAACATTATCCAATGTCATGCAGAAAAAGAAGAAATTAAGCAACTTTCCTTTATAATAATTACAGTTTAACCCTTTCACTCCCAAGATCTCATATGCAATTCTCATTAATGTCTGCCATACAATTCTCATGATGCTAGTTCAGAGAATTTAGCATTGGATCAACTAATCCCCTTATTGATATTTTTCTTCATTCTCATCTTCTGTCTGCTTGATGTTGTATCGATATTGTAAGGAGAATTGCTGTCTTGGTCACTCATGGGAGTTAAAGGATTAACTAACTTTTCCTACATTGCTTATTTATTCTTTTACTTTATAACTGGCCGCCACCAGAAACGGGGAGCTAACAAGAAAACCTTTGGTTAATTCATAAAGGCTGATAGTTTCAAAAGAAACTGTTTGGGGCTGCGTCGGTGGGAGTAACGAAATAATTTGGATATATCAACAAAGTTGAAATGGTAAATTGGCCACCGTAAAGATTACAATAGCTGACATTTCGAGCGTTAGCCCTTCGTCGGAGCGATAATTTAGTTAATTTAGCTTTCTAGTTCAAAACTTAACTCTACAATTATCAAAATGATTTTAATCGATATTGCAGAATCAACGAATTATTACGATTTAATTAGGTTGGGTGAAATAAAATGCTGTTGTTGTTGTTATTGATCTGGTCCGGTTGTTCAAGGGTGGCTAACCACTTACTTCTCACTTTGGCAGTTACAAGTTGACTTGTTACCTTTCGGAAGGTATTGCTAGTGTGCGTACGTACCTCCTAGCCTCTCTGCTTGATTCTCATTGATACAGGTTAGTGTTTGCGACAGAAAAGTAGGATGACCGAACTGGCACTTGCAACCGCAAGACTTTCGATTAGTCACAGTACCATCGTAGCTTGCTTTCAGTGTCGTGCACCATTTAGAAACCTGGTTTGGATCCTCAATGCAGTAAGATCCATTCTTATAATTCAAAAAGAACAAATCGGATTTAGAACCACCTCTTCTCCCTATGACATATTCCTCAACATCTGCTTGATGAACGACGTTGGAACTTGACAGCTGGGGAACTATTATCAACAAAAACAGCTTCAGCACAACCCCTTGCTGTCCTCCTTTCATTTTCGTTCAGCAAATTATATGTTAAGAAGCGACAAATGATTGACAGTGCTGCGTGAATCACATCATCTAATATTTCAACTCTTCACGAACAAGTGACTAGTTTGCTGACCCCTTCTTCACGCCAACAACGCCCTCAATAACCGGTGAATAAACTTATTTCCGGATTCTCAACAAACTTACGCAGTGAAGGCGAAGTAATTCGTGCCAGTCTCCATATAGACTCCCTGTTACCCAGTCTCTATATGGACTCCCTGTTACCCATTCTCCCTGTGTACCCTGTGTACCCTGTGTACCCTGTGTACC